GGGCGCAGCGCCCCAGCAAACTCCCCACCCCTGCCCAGCACCCACAGTGCTCCCGGCCTCCTGCAGGGAGCCTGGCTTGGTCCTGGGTCCTCAGAGGACACTGTCCACCGCCGGTGCCCTAGCAGAACCTCAGGAATGTGCTTGGTCTCCACGCCCGCCCCACAACAAGGGCCCAAGGTTAGACCTACCCATGCTTCAGTGACTTCTGAGCCAGCCGTCCCGCCGCCCAGCTGCCGCTCCAGCCTCCAGAGCCGGCCCCAACCTCCAGCCCCAGCCTCAGCCGCTCTCCCTAGAGGTCAGAAAAAGCCTGAGGCAGGGCTCACAGCTGCACCCAGGAGTCACCCAGGGTGAGTCCGCTCTCCAGGGCGAGCGGGTCCCTCCTGTCCACCCACAGCCAGGGACTGTACCTCCTCACTACACAAGGGAGATAAAGGAAAAACAAGAGCGAGAAAGCACAGGGAGAGAAAAGGAAGGAAGGGAGAAGGAAACGGAAAGAAGAGGAAGGAAAAGAAGGGAGAAAAGGAAGGAAGGGGAGAGAGGGGGAGGAGAGGAAAAAAGAGGGAAAGAAAGGGAGCGATGGGGAAAGGCAGCAAATGAAGCGAGAGAGGGAAAGAAAAAAAAAGGAAGGAAAGACGGGAGGGACGGACGGGAGAAAGGGAGGAAAAGGGCAAAGGAGGAGGCGGGCAGACAGGAAAGAAGGAAACGGGGAGGGAGGAGAGAAGAAAAAGGAAAAAGAGGGAGGGAGGAGAGAAGAAAAAGGAAAAGGAGGGAGGAGAGAAGAAAGAGGCAGGGAGGGAGGAAAGAAAAACAGGCAGGAGATAAGAAAAAAGAAAGGGAGGCTGGGTGCGGTGGCTCACGACTGTAATCCAGCACTTTGGGAGGCCGAGCTGGGCGGATCACCTGAGGTCAGGAGTTCGAGACCAGCCTGGGCAACATGGTGAAACCTTGTCTCTCCTAAAAATAAAAATAAAAGGAGACAGAAAAGAAAGAGGAAAGGGGGGGAAGGAGGGAAGGGAGAAAAAGGAGGAAGGAAGAAGAAAGAGAAAAGGAAGGAAGAAAGAGGAAAAGAGGAAGGGAAAGAGAGGAAGAGAGAAGGAAGAAAGAGGAAAGAAAAAGGGAAGGAAAGAGGAAAAGGAAGAAGGGAAAAAGCGAAGGGAAGGAAAGAGGAAAGGAGGAAAGGGAAGAGAGGAGAGGAGCAAAGGGAAAAAAAAGAAAAAGGAAGGAAAGAGAAAGGAAGAAGAGAAGGAAGAAAAGGGAGAAAGAGAAAACCATAAGAGAGAGGGAGAAAAACAGAGGAATGAACAAGAAAGAAAAAGGAGGGAGAAATAAAGAAAAGAGGGAAGAGAGGAGCAATAGAAAGGAAGGAGAGAGAGACAGACATGAAGGAAAAAGGCAGGGCGGGAAAAGGAAGGGAGAAACGAAGAGGGAGAAGGAGGAGAGCGGGAAAGCAGCAAACTGAAAGGCAAGCGTGGCAGGAGGGAGCGGGCCAAGGGCGGAAAAGAGCGGACAGAGCGGAAGGGGAGAAACGCGGAAGCAGAAAAGGCGGAAAGAAAAGGAGGAGGGAGGAGGAAGGGCGGACAGGAGGCCGGGAAGGGGGACCCCGGCCGCAGCCCCCAACCCGACGGACACTGGCAAGATCCGGGGCCCAGGCCGGTGGGCGCCGGCCAGGACACCCCTCCCAGGCCAGTGCGGAGGGCACCGCGGGGTCAGAGTTCGACGGGCCAGGGACCCCCAGTCCCAGCGCGGAGGCACCGCGGTCAGAGGTCGGAGCCCAGGATCCCCCCCCCCCAACACCAAGCCTGAGCCGCGAGCGGCTGCGGGTCAGACGTCAGAGGCCCAGGACACCCCCCCACACACCCAGCCCAGCGCGGAAGGGCACCGCGGGGTCAGAGTCAGAGGCCCAGGGACCCCCAGCCCCAGCGCGGAGGGCACCGCGGGTCAGGAGGTCGGAGCCCAGGGACTCCCCAACCCAGTGCGGAGGGCGCGCGGGGTCAGAGGTCAGAGCCCAGAACACCCCCACCAGCCCACACCCAGCCCGAGCGCGGAGGGCACAGCGGTCAGAGTCCGAGCCCAGGACCTTAACCTAACCCAGGACGGCGCAGAGGGCGCGCGGGTCTAGAGGCAGAGGCCCAGGGACCCCAACACCCACCCGAGCGCAGAGGGCACCGGCGGGGTCAGATGTCGAGGCCCAGAACACCCCCCCCACACCAAGCCCGAGCGCGGAGGCACGCGGGGTCCCAGAGGTCAGAGGCCCAGGGACCCCCCCACCGACACCCAAGCCCGAACGCAGGGGCACCGCGGGGTCAGAGGTCGAGCCCAGGATTCCCCCCCCCCCCA